TTCAGCTGTTTGTTTCTCTATTGGTAAGAAGTACAGTATGTAGAACATTACTAGTACCAAAAGAGCTTAGGCTGAACCAAAACCATTTATCCTAGAAGATTTTTGCTCACATTGCACTAGCTGCTACAGCTGTCCCTTAGAAGAAAAGCAAGATTTCTTAACAAAACAAAGTATTCTGCCCTGCAAAAGGGACTTCAGAAGATCTCCCCACATCACATCCTCTTCTTGTCAGTATGGAGGACAAAGGCAATCACAAGAAGTCAAAGGTGAATCTTTAGTGATAAATGCTTACGGCACAGTTCTAGATTACCAGGCAAAGGTTGGTGGGGAGATACATTTGGCCAATGTCCTCAGCATTTCAAAGCACAAGAAAGTTCTTACTTAAACATTGCAGTTAATGAGCTGTATTCTTCTGCTTTGAAAAGCCACAGGGGAACTGACCTGTGCTAGGACACTAAGAGTTTGGCAAGAGCTTTCACTTCCATTTCACATCTGTCAGACATACCTAAATGTGAGAAATGTCCATCTGAAGAGGTTTTTGCAGATACTTAAGTGCCTAACTTATTGAGACTGTACGACTCTGGACACTAAAGTGATGATGTTATTTCTGAGGAAATGTGTTCAAGGCAGGGAAAAAAAAAAAATATATATATATATTTCCACTCCAAAAAGTTTACATGTTCAATTTCTGGCAAATATGCAAATCTTTGAACATAGTATACAGCTCTCCAACTACAAGAGGCCTTGTGTAAGATTTGCAGGTGAACATCCTTCCATCACCATACGTCTTTCCATGAAAAGGCGTATTGTTTGAATAACTAAAAAAATGAGGAAGTGAAAGACAAAAAGACAGAAAGGTCAGTGACTGATAAATCTTTAATATAAAAATTGTACAAGAATTTTGATACAAATTACAAGAGGTATTTGGACAAAGTATGAGTAAAACTCCATTTATATCCCCAAAACCTTATGCATTTTATGCAAAAGACATACTGTAGGACAGTTACAGTACAGAAAATACAAGAAAAGAAATGTCAAATTAAAAACAGGACTTTTTAATTCCCTCAGACTACTAATGGAAAAAACTTGTTTAGAGTACATACAGTATTTATGAAGCTACCAATGTCACGATTATTAGATCAACATGATGCAGTTTTTCATATCCCCTTGTACAGCTATATTCCATAGTGCATGCTTTGGTTCTGCAGGCAGGACAGCAGAGCATTCGTGTTTTGCTCACATTGAGAATGAACAGTGAAAATAAAAAGCCACATCTGTTCCGAATGGAGAAGGACCTTTTGTAAAAATGTCCGTCAGGCCCCGTTTCCACACTTTCCCGTGCCTGGGAGGGGCACCCAAGGAACGTGTCTTGACACAGTCCACTGGAACAAGCCCAGCTTTGCAAGCCAGCAGCGAGCTGGCCCTTCTCCGTCGCTGAGTGGCACGGGGGGGTTTGCTGGGCCACGAGAGCCCTCCCGTGCCCACCAAGAAAGGGGTTTCCAGGCTTTTTCCCTCTGTGGCTGAACCCGCCGCTGGGCCCCTACAGACACCCAAATACAGGAAGGTTCAAATCCAGTTTATCTCAGCTTACATCTCCGCGTGAACCCCCAGTCAGGTTCCCATCTTTCCAGTTCGGCAGAACTGAAGCACAGCAGACGGCTACATAGGGGATTGACATGTTGCTCGGCTTCTCAGTCAAAGCTGTTAAAACAACAACTGTGCCAGTGAGCAAGAGCCTTTAGCAAAGCAAAGAAACTCCAAAACCCCTCGGCCACAGGTGTGAGCCCGCTACAGTGAGATATTCATAGATACAAACAGGTTGCAGTGACCTGCTTTGTGCTAAGTAAAAGCGCGTGGAGCTTCAGCCGGGGTAAATTTTGAGTGTGTTCAGGGTTCTGATCAGCTTATTTGCACACCTGTCGCACATACATTACACTGGAACACGGAGCACCTTCTTTTATAGACTGGAGGAGAGGCAGGAAGCATGAACTGAGAACACAAAAGCTGCCCATGAGGAAAGAGCCACGTCATGGGAAAGGAGCCCCACGTGACATAGGAACCAAAGTTTGCACAAGAAAAAGCAGCATGCTGAATTTCATATTTATAAATAGTTAAATGAGACACACACACACAACAGTGGCCATTTTATTCATCTTGTCACTTTACAAACTGTGACCATTTTCACAGATGGAATGCATAAAACTTTCCAAAATGGAGAGAATCAGGAGGATGTGTTACTTTTCTGAGAGAATTTTAATGAGAGACTCTCTTGGAATGAGAGGAGAAGGAGTGTGGACAGGTGAAGAAAATGGGAAAATTAAGACAATGACTGAGGATTGTACAAGGGTTCGTTTAAAAAAAAATATTTAAAAAGCAGATGTAAAAGTATGGTTGAAAAATAACGAAGAAATAAGCCTTAGTTTATACATCTTAAGCAACCCTATTTATTCTGTAGGTCATCGGGTAGACTAAGAAGAATGTCCCTAGAATCACAGTTCGTGTGGCTACCGTGCCATTTCACAGCGCGGGGCGGGGGGCAGACACGGGACACACACGACATTCTGCCTCATCCATGCAGAATTTCGGGGAGGGGGAGGGAGGAGGGAGGGAGTGATAGGGACGGGGACATGAACTGGGCGTTAAAGTGTTGAGCTGGACGTGGTGATCGTGCAACACTCCCCCACTCAGGCACAGAGAGGCGCGTGCAGGAGTGCCACAGGTCCCCCAGAGCCGCTGTTCACAGCCGCTTGCATTTCGTAACAGAAGTGGACAGGTTGTGATTAACTATTGATGAGTTTGCCATCCTAACTGTGCATTATCCTCTGATCATTCTCAACCTTTTGTTTGACAACGGATGCCTTATAAAATCTTTATGCATCACTTAGCTAGTCTCGCTCTCCCTTTCTTCTCTAGAAATATAATTGCCCTGGATGCTTTTCTCCACTTTCCTAAAATATTTTCTCCAAAGGTTTGAAGGGAGCAGTGTAGGAAATCTGTAGAACATCTGAATAAACCTCTCTACACATTAGACATTTGCTCACTCATGCTTCTTAAGTGCATAAGAGGAAATATATATATAGGTAGGTGTGATGAAAATTATATAATTTTGCCCATTTGTAACCTTCATTTTAAGGCTCTTTGTTCTAACATTGGGCCTGTTTCTCCCTCTCTGTCTGTCTCACACACACACACACTCACACACACACACACATACAAAGAACCCAAATGGTTTATTTGATCAGAAAGTCCTCATTTTCCACAAACAGTCTCAGAAATGGTACAGAAAGAAAGGCTGTTAGTCTTGCCCAAGCTCATCATCGCAGGTTAGCTAATTGGACTGCTCCCAGCTCTGTCAGTGCCATGTGCACATGGAGTTGACAGAGGAGCAGAAGCTGGGCTCAGCCCTTACACTTCTGACAAAAACAGGACTCTGGAAATTGTCTGCTGGTTTCACCCTTATAGCTTCTGATGTCCTTGGAAGGAAAAGGAGGGAAAAGATCAGATACCTTTGACTGGTAAAAGGCCTCAGCATATTTATAGTGGGGACCATCACCTCGGATGCAGCAAACGTCAAATTACCACGTAGTGCTGGAGACAGTACTAGCATCTGGACCCAGCAAAGAGGAGCTGCAGCCCACTACTGCCATGAATCAATCCAAGGATATGAAAATCAGTGAACCCCCAAAGGGTTGTCTTCAGGTCTCCCAGTCTTGGGCTTTGCCTGTAACCTGTCTTTGTCTTTTTTGGTGCTGCACTGGTCACCAGCACCATCCAGCCCACAGTGCCCAGCACTCTCAGGCGTACACGGGATCTGGTGTTACCATCTCAGCACAGGAACGCTGCTGACCCTGCAAGGAAAGCACGCTTCAGCTGCTCCTCTGCCTACTTGAATTTTCAACTGCTATTCAGCAGTCAGTCAGCATACAATAAAAAGGAAGGGGAGTGGCTGAAGCCAGGTACACTGGCCTTCATGCACTCAGAATTTCTTAAAACATAGCACATGCTCCCAAGCCACTTTGCTGTCAAAGGCTCTTTTTTTTTTTTCTGATGGCCTCATCTGAGAAGCACTTCTGGAGCCTGTACTTTCGGGAATGTTCTTGTAAATGAAGGAATAAAACAGAAAAAATTCCTCCTCGTATGAGGGCAGCAGATTGTGTCTCTGATGTGTTTCCCTACCACTTTACAGAGGTTCACACTGACCTCAGTAGGAGATGTTCCTATCACGGCAGAAAGGATATCTGGAATTGGCATTCACTGTAGGAACCAGAGAGGAGGGCATTGCTCTGAAATTTGCCAAGGGTTGGGGTCAACTAGAAAAAGACTGCATATCCTGTTTGCCACCGAAGCTATGCAGCAAATTCACATGACTGTTTCTAGCAGGCACAGTATGGCTTATGCCAATACAAAGCAATTAGTTGCTACATAAGCAGACAAAAGTGCCGTCACAGACAGTATTTCTCAGCTGACCTTTTGTTAAGAAGCCATCTTGTTACTGTCTGCCTGATAGCTCGATAGAGCAGCCAGTGGCAGCCTTGGGCTTCCCAAAGACAAATCGAAGCGCTCCAGATGGGACTTCCCTTCACTCACTGCAGATGTGTGTGTGTGCATGCATGTGCGTGTGTGTCAAGGAACGGAGAAGGAAAGCCTAGTTCTTATACTCAATTTCCCCTTCACAGGGAATAAACAGGCAATTACGCATCCTTTTATATTTGATGGCCAAGTGCTGAACTTGAAAGCACACTATTAGTTTGTGTCCCTTCAGGGCCAGTGCAATAAGTAGCCAGGAGAGCTGGGGCTAAGGAAGAGAGGGTGTTGTCTGCTGTTAGTGTGACAGTCTTGTCAGCAGCATTCACATTACTGGAAGGTAATAAAGTGACAAGTAAGTTATTAGAAAGATATGAGGTGAAATTGAACTGAAGCTTCTTTCTGCTCAGCTCAGTTTTTTTTCCTGATTTGTAATGGGCCACTATTTGTTACAAACCAAGCCTTGTCTTGAGATCTTATATAAAAAAAGAAATATTTATTCTTTGCAGGAAAGGTCACATGAATTTACAACATCACACTTTAAAGAAGAGGAATGGGAAAATAGTTTTATGACAACTACAGCTGCTATTTAAAAAAAATACAGTGTCATCATAATGAACAATAATACTGGCAAAAGTCAAAGGACTTGTCAAAAACATGTCCATTTTTTAACCCTTTGGTGGTCCAGAACTGTTTTGCTTTAGTGCCAGTGCCAAACATAAGAGCAACAGTATTGGGACATACATGATGAACATCTTGATCAAAAAATCAAAGCTGTCATTCAACATCACAACTTGACCAGAGAAAACAAATCACATAAGACTGGTTAACTACAGACTCAAGATAATATTACTTATGTAAAAAAGTTGCTGCTTCACCCTGTTACAGGCCATTTTAGAGGCAGTGATAATGCTGCTTGGCAAGAAGAGACAGAAACCATGGGACTGGAACAGACACGTACCTGGGCAAACATGTGGGTAAAAGGTTCAGTCCAACATATGATGCAGCTCTGTTCATGAAGTAAAAAATGGGTATGGAAAAGAGTTCCTTTTATGTCCCTACAGGAGGGGGAAAAAAGCCCAACTCATAATGTGGCGACAGCAGGATATGCTGATGCTTATCTAGCAAAGTAGCACTACAGTCACTGTTTTGTTGAGTTACTATAGCAGCAAAGTAGTGACATAAGGAAAAAAAAGAAAAAAACGAAGAAGGAACTGACATATACCAGCTGCCATCATGTGTCTGCCACTCACCTTTTTCCCACAGGGAATTCCTGCTGCCTCCTTGCCCTTAGTACAGACAACTTTGCTTCTCTTTTGAAATAAAAAAAGACTAATTCTGTTAACATGACCCAAAGAGAAAAGTGACAAAAACATTCTGGGGACAGAAGAAGGAGTAATAGTTCTGTTTATGTAACTGGCACAAAAGATTTAGAGGAGCACATGTATGCTCCTATGTCAAATACTGTCCCTCCCTTACTCCTTCCCCTGCCACCAATGATGCTGCAAAAATGTTCTGCAGAATTACAGTACAAATACGTTCCTGAAAAGATATCCGATGTTATGATGGCAGCTGATGTCCCTATTGACCCTGTGAAAAATGGGCCCAAACCAAGCATTTTGATTCTAAAACATCATACACATTGAAGGAGAAATTTTTGGAACTAAATCTCTGGTATTGTAAATGGTTTCTATCTTTGGAGCAGATCAGACCTTGAACCATTATGTTTCTGACCTTTCCACATACCCACACAGCTCTTTGTCGTGTTGCTTAGGCACATTCCTACCCCAAATAATTGCCTATGCTAGATCCTTAGTTGTGTTAATTGAGAAGACTAAAACTCAGGGAAAACTGAAGTGGATCCCTGCAGCCCCACTTCCTATTAGCTGTACTGGGCCAGATCAACAGAGGTGCTGACCCCCCGTGGCAGCTACTTCACTGTTTAGAACCTGACTCTACTTTTTTCCTAAACAGTTCCTTTTTTGGGGATGAATGGGAAACACACAGATGATGGAAAACTTACAAACTTCTGGAACAGACAGAGGAAGTACTCTTTCATTTCCACAATGGAAGGAAAGGAGGGAGAAAGGGAGGGAGGGAGGGAGGGAGGACGGAAGTAATGAATGAAGGAAGAAAGGAGGGAGGGAGGGAAGGAAAGGAGGAAGGATGGAAGGAAGGAAGGAAGGAAATACACTGATGTTTACTCACAGCAAATATGGTGCACAATTTCTGCTGTGTACAGAACCCTAGGAAACATACTAATTTTATGAGCTCAGTCATGAAAAGCCTTTGAGAGATATTTAAGAGCAACGTGTATGTGCTAATAGGCTTCTTAATCTATACCTTCCATATTTTGTCAAACTGAGTTGTGAATTAGTGACAGAGTGCTTCTACTTGGAGTGTCACCATGGAGCCAGCTGCAGTTTAAGAGGCAAAGTTAAAATCTCAGCCTTAACAAAATGTACCTGTTTGAGATATAGCTCAGAAAAATTGACTAAATATTGTAAGGTTTGCAAAAATATTTATGACTTAAATTAGCTCTTTACTAACACCAGATAATTAGTCCTCACAGGAGCACCCTTATGGGGAAGACCGTATTAGTATTAGCCATATTTTAACAGATTGGAACACAAACGGGTAAGTGATGTGATCTGTCCAAGACTAAACAGTGAGAAGGGGCCACCAGTGGTATTAAAACTCAATTCCTGGTTCCCATTCTTGTGCTTTGACTCTGCTGTTTTCCTTCCAAATTTCTTCATATAGGTTTTCAAAAATAACTAGTGATTAGACAATATCACATGCTTTCCTGACCCCCCGCCTCGAGAACAAAGAAAAATGCTTAACAACCTCCAGACAAGAAATTCTGTTTCTAAAGGAGGTGCAGTACGAAAAATTATTTCCTAAAAGTAGACAAAGCCTTTTTGATATTTACAGAAAAATACAACTATGTTGAATAAACAAAACAGTGAAACAACATGGAAAGAGTGACCACAATAACTAAAAGAACCAAAGAAGGAGGAACAAACTCCATGTGAAATGAAGAGTGTCTTCCTCACAGCTGGTCTAACTCTTGTAAAAAGATTTAGACTGACAAGGTTGGAAACTGAAGGGATAGCCACAGGTTTATAATGGCGTAAGCAACTGCACAACACTAATCATCACACCATTACAGCCATGCTCTTTGCTGGACACATGAGATGTTCAGCCATTATACTTATTGCAGTCTGGGTTGCTGCTGAGATCAACCAGAAATTATACTTTCTGTCAGTACGGACAAACTTGTGCCACACATCCTTTTAAAGTATTTTTCAGGTAACTTCAGATGATACAAATTCCACCACAGGAACAATTCTGATAAATACAGATTGTCATCCAGATGCATGGTAAGTACGAAGGAGGGAAATGCCATTCAATGCAATATAAGTGTATGTATGTGCCCTTCTAAAACACTGTTCTGACGTACCACTAGCACTGAAGAAACCAATCGATTCGCCTAGAAATAACAGTGAGTAATATTCTGTCCACAAGACGGAGATGGTAACTCCTATAAGGCTTAAGCAGAATCTGAATGAAGTTTAGGATGCCATAAAAGTAGGATTGCAGAGCTTCTAACAGTTTTTGTAGGTTTGTCCCTGCTTCTTTACTTTTTAGAATGTCCTGTTCCATTTTGTATAATAAACTGATTTTTTTTTCTATGTAATTCTGCTGAATTTATCTACTGATGATGTTTAAGTTTCCAAACAACTTTACCAAAACCATTTGACCTCTAACAGAAACAGAGTGAAATGAGAATGTAGAACAGTGACTCATTCAGTTAGGAATTATTTGTATAGCTTAAATATGTTTTTCATTAAAAATGATATTTATTTATACCATACATGCTACAAAACAGTGGGATTTTCTTACTGTAGATATCATTCAATTTTTGTTGTTTTGTTTTTTTGACGTTCCATCTTGCTTGTTCCTAATAGCTTGGGAGGAGGGATGGGAGTGCAGTACAGATAACACTACAAAGGTCCATGTGTTTTAGAAGAATGCACCTTTACTGTTCTAATTTCCCTCTCTCACAAACAGACTGAGCTTGCACAACACAAACCAAAGCAAAGCAGAACTCTCCACTCAATTTAACGAGGCAAAGTAGTTGAGACTTTGAGGAAAAATAAAAAAAGATGAAAGACAGCCAGTGAAACTGCCTAGCTTTTTGCTATCGTTTCTCTTTGTTAAACCAGAAGGTAAATTTTCTCTACAGTTTCTGTGGGATCCACAAATATTTTCAGGGCTTCATCAGTGTACGGAATCAAAAAAATGATCAGAGGCTTGTAACCCATAGGAACATAGTGAGAATTTGTTTAGAAAGTTTTTTCTTTTATTTTCTACAACTGGAAATACTGATTTATTAGCTATTGATTCCTACTTTTGGAAACAAGAACACTGAAATGCATAAAGAATACCAAAAAAGAGGAAATCCATATTAAGAGTTTCCTCTCAAAAACGTAGCAGGAGTTAAGTACTCAAGTGGACATAAAGGTACGAATAATCAAAATGCACAGCAAATCAAAACAATGACAAGCTGAAACAATGGAGCATTTCTGACTCTTGGCTAAGAAGAATAATGTTCTGGGTCAGTAAATACAGAAAAGGAACACATTCTCACTGAAGGAATATTTTATTGTACGCTGAAATATCCCTTGGGTTTTTGTTTGTTTGTTTGTTTGTTTGTTTTTGCTTTTGTTATTGTTTTTGTAAAGAAAAGAGTATACAACACACACCCTAATGGTTTTGGCTGTAGACTAACTTAAGTAAATACCATCACTCAGTCAGTATGTTGTGGTAACTCAGGCTGCCAGTGTGGTTTACCAGCTCAAGCAACATTGTAAACACCGGAAACAAAAAAGATTCATAGGACAGCCTCTCTTTATCTTTCTCAACTGCTTGCTCCTTCTCCCTCTCCTGTTCATGCTCACTGTCTTGCTCAGTATCGTTCTAGGACTTTCATTATTTTCTGAAAAACCATGTGGGTGAAACACAAAACATTAACACAACTAGTCCTTTTTTTCTGGCATCTAATTTTATCCAAAGGGAAAGTTATCCAATAAAAAGTCCAGCATATGTTTTCAGAGCTACTAAGTGCTTCTGCCATTAATTTCTTTTTGATTGCTTCTATAAAACATGCCTTAATCATACTACAGCACTTTCCATTGCAAAAAAGACAACTTTACAGAACAACATAGTTAACATTATTTCCCTGTTCTTTTTTTTTTTTTTTTAAACACCACAAAAAATTCAGGCCATAGTAAGAAGCACACAAAATTATATTCATCTTTGTTCTGTGACAAGTAGTATCAGCATTTATATCCCCAAATATTATGCATGTTTGACAAAAAAAAAAAGATTCCACTGATTCACATGACAATTCTGGGTTTTTTCGCTAATGTAATGTAGTAGATAACGAATAAGGATGCACTATTGTTTCTAGTAATAATTGGCACTTAAAAAAAGCACCAAGAATTCTGTATTTCACTTCACCCCTTTTCCCTCCCCAGTGTCTTTTTCTGTAGTCCAAAAACTACAATTGTGGTTATGGTGAATAACTACATTTTCTTTTTTCAAAACGTGTGCAAAGTTGGCACTTTTGTATTAACACTAAACACTAATACTCTTTGTTTGGCATTCATGCCCTCATACTGACCAGACCACTTTTATCTAAGTGTATTTTTTTAAAGACACTTACTGAAAATATGGCAATAGTTTAAGAAAAAAAAAGCATGGATATTATTACACATCCCCTTGTAGTGTACGAAAAAGTGCATGACTGGATTTATGTAATAGTACAAGACAAAAAAACGGTATCAGATCAGGTACTGTAAAGCATGCCAGCACCTCGGTATTACTTATATCTAGCAGGTAGTTAAAACAAGACCGTGGTTCCTTTAAAAATGTGCATTAAAGCTAACATAAATGAGTAGAACTAGCCAGCAAACTATTTTTCCTGCTTATCTAACAGCTGAATGTAACTGTAAAAATTAAGCAAAAAAATAAGAGTTAAACCACCATCAATACAATTGTTTTACATCATAGGCCTGTCAAGGCTCAATATATATATACAAGTGTAACAGCCATGCTTAGTAGAACGTTATCCCCAATGCTTAGAAGACACAAAGACAACTAAGTAGATTTTTTTCTCTCTCTTTTTGTTTGTTTGCAATTTTTTTTTTTTTTTGTTCTTTTTGTCAGGCAAAAGGGTAGAACATGGGTAGAACAAATTGTCTCTTCGGAGATGACCAAGAACATTCTAACAGAACTAGGGACAACTGCAAGTTTTCTGTGGGTCTGGTTTTTGTTTTTGCTTGCTTTTTATGAAGGGTCTCTCCCCCCAAATTAAACATCCCACCTTTTCGTTTCTATCCCAAAAAAAAAAAAAAAAAAGAAAATAAACCAACAACCAACAAAGGGGAAAAAGCACCTGGTGTTTCTTTCTTTTGTTAAAAAAGAAAAGAAAAAGATTATATATATATGTATATTTTTATATATATATATATATATATAAAGGGAGACTGTATATGGCAGTTCAGATGTAGTGGGCCCTCTCTGAGAGCTGGCATTAATGCTGTGTCCATCCTTGAACTAATCTACTGAAGTGAAGGGAATGTTTTTATGCAGATTGGGGTTCTGGCTGTGCCGGTTTCGGCTACGGACAGAGGAGAACATCATGTTGCACCCAGGGACTTTGCATTTGTGCATCTCTCGCAAGTGCACTGTTTTATAGTGCACTCTGAGGGTTCCCTTGTTGCTGTACATTTTGTGGCAAATGTTACACATTATCCCACCGTTGCTCACCGAAACACTGTTGAACATGAGGGATCCTGGGACATCGGTGCCCATCCCTACAGCTAAGGCAGGGGCATCTGCTTTGTGGGCAGATTCCCCACTGTCACTTGCCCCATCGACGTCATCCAGGAGAATGCCCTCATCACTTCCTGCATCAGATTCTCTTGAGGAATGGATACTGCTGCTGGACTGGATGCTGGAGGTGGTGCTCAGGTCTAGGACCATATAGTCTTCCGACATGCCCCTGCCGTACCCATTCATATGGGAATCTTCAGTACCAGCAGGCGAGGAGGTGTCTTCCCTTATGTCGAGCCCCATCTGATGCTGAGTGCCATATATCTTCACCAAAAATTCATCACGGAGGTCCTTACTAAGAGAAGGCTGTGAGGTGTCCAGGCCCATGTCATCCAGTTCTTTGGTCAACAGTTTACGGTGCAGGTTTATGTTAGCACTGTGTCTGGGAAAGGAAAAGGGAAGGGAGAAAAGGGAAAATGTACAGTATTTCTGATTAAACATACAGTCATCAAGCACCAAATCCAAATTCTGATTTAGCAATAATTTATCATGAAATATCCCCTATCTGTGTCTCTTGGAAAATTCAGTCTTGCTATAAGTGAACAAATTGCACCACAGAAGCCAAACAAAACAAGCAAATTACCCCTCCATATTGCTTTTCTTTTCAGCTACTGTTCCTCAAATTTAGTCCCCAGCAGCACCTACAGCCCTTTTATTTGATATTTACAAAATAATAAATTGCACTAACAGAAAATGCAAAATGCTCTTCTTGGTCTCTGCTGGCCTTCCTAAAATTCTTACTTCAAGAGAAAATATTATCAATATAGGGAATATCTCTGTGTGTTTGCACCTATGTCTATCTCTAGATCTGTATCCTTATATATTTATACATACACACATATAAATATATAATATATACATATGTATTCACATAACTGTGTAAGTGAAATATTGGAGGAGAAAAACATAAAGGTAACAATGATACATAGTCAGAGGTCCTGATTCTGATAATTTAATTCTGGTATAGAAGGATTCAGAATCGGGCCAAACTAAGACGGAGAAGACTTGAGGTGTTTAGGAGAACAAGTCTCTGAAATCTATATGTAAGCTTCTGAAAATCTTAGCCAAAGTCACTGGTTCTGTCCTTCTGGGAGGGCACTACTGCTCCTCCTCGTATTCTTTCCAGTACTGCGTCTGATGCGATGCTGACTGACCTAAACACTGTAATTTCCAGTAAAAAAAGCCTATTAATGGCAATGAGAATTTTGCCCCAAATCAATCAAAACACTTAAGTGTGGGCTTTGGTTTAGGTGTGTGCTGAAGTCACTGTGGGTGCTTAAGAGACACTGGAAAAGCTGTCACTGATGACAGTGGTCTTTGGACCAGATCCCAAGAGCCATGAATTAAAATATTCTCAAGTGTTTTACAGGATCTGGGCCTTCGTTGTTCAAGAAATAAAGCTCTACATTTGCAAATAATGTAAGCCTTTGGGTTAGTAACTGTGTAAAACAGCCTATTATTTTAAATACTGCATTCTACTCTCCACTTTTGACATTGGCTTTATTCATCCATTGCAGTAGAACCTCACTGATTTGCAGCAGCGTCAGGAAACCCTCTTTGAAAAACCGCATTTTCTGAATTAACAATGCAACCAACAAAGATGACAGACATCAAAGACCTCTGACCACAGAACATGCTCGTTTTGTTGAAGTGCTTAATAATAAGAAATCAGTATAAAGTTTTCAGTATTAGAAAACTTTAGAGTTCAGTATTCAGAATGTGCACCATTGCTGAGGAAGCAACAAATATTTATTCCATTTCTTTGGAGGGTGACTGGATTTTCAAGTCAGTAAACAAAGAATTAGCGAAGTTCTACTGCGTAACATTCTTTGCAAGCTAAGGACCCAAACCCACAATTTACAACATGCAGACTCACCAGTCTGTCTGCCCATTATAAATTGCAGATCAGAGCCCAAATGTAGGAGGGAAAAGAAAGAAGGCAGGGAGGGGGGAGGGGAGGGGGTGGAGCAGGGGGGAGAGAGAGAGAGAAAGAGAGAGTTTTAACAAAGGAATACTCTAATTTGCAAAAAGCACTAGGTATAAAACTGGCATAGGATGACATAACAATGATCAAATTTTTTACAGTCATTCAGGTCCTATGGTAACAAAAAAGGAAGAAGGGGAATAATAGCTATTAGCAATATTTCCTTATTGGAAGATTTTGTTTTAAGAAACCCTTTGAAACATACCTCTCAACCAGCTGAAGTCCCAAACATGGTACAGCAATACAATGCAGATAAACAAGGAAAATCAAATGTAGGAAGATTAAACTGATGTGGAGTTAATTTCTGTAATTTTCTATCACTTTCCTTGTGATTCAGCTATCCGTTGCACATAACTTATGGGAATAATTACAGAAAACAGCAATGGAAACAATCTGTCCCACTCACCTGCAAATGCAGGTAACCGTTCTTTGACACAAAACTGATACTGAACTGTAGTTTAATTGAATTGTGTCTGCTCGGGATGCAATTATTCCAGTAAGGGAGAGGTCTAGAAAAGAAAATTTCTCTCCTAATGAGTGACAGTTGAGAGGTATGGGCAAGGGTGGAAAAAAGTGGAGAGTATTCCTTGTTTTTCTCCCACATGGGAAATACTCCTTTCACACAAGCAAGTATAGCACCATTGCTTTTTTGAGGCGCAGAAGTGTAATTATGCATATCCCCACACTGCACTTAGGAAGGCTGAGCTTACCTTGTGATAAGATCAGCTTTCTAATCTTTTGCTAAATTGAGATCACAAAAGAGAGAGAGAGAGAAGAGAGGAGAAAAGAGAAAGAAAGGGGGGGGGGGGGGGGGAGAGAGAGAGAAAAAAAATTCACATTCCAATCCAGACATATCTGGTTTTTAAAAAGAAAAAAAGAAAAAAAAAAGAAAATAATATCTGAAACCAATAAAATAGACTGTGAAACTGGTTTTTGTCAGCTGTAATCTCACTTACAGTGTTGTTCTGATGGATACTGACTCAACCACACAATATGAAAAACATAAAGCAAATTAATCAAAGCATATTCACAGCATCCCCATTATCATCCACAAATGAGTTCTGAACAGATGCATGCAGTGTGCACATACATGAATGATAAGCAGTGGCCCTGACAGTCCCTTGCCTTCCTGGTGTCAGATGGTGTACAACTCCACGTAAAGTTGCTCAGTGCAATACAGGAAACGCTTACTGTGAAGGCCTGCCCGCGCTGACCACTGTTATTACATGACCATAAAAGCACATTTGTGCTTATCATCATAACGCTAACTGCAAACTACTCATAAAGTGCTATGTGTTTGCTTCTTTCAATTTCTCCCCCTCTCTCCCCTCCTCATTCCCCTGGCATGGGAATTTGCTGCGGTGTAGCAACTAGTCAGGATATCTGTAACTGTTGTTTCCACACATTTGCGCTTAATATTTCCTTGGTTTGCTGCTGAGAAAAACAGCAGCCAGGCATGCAGTGAAAACAACTTCAGCATTCACTGAATGAAGAGATAAGAATAAATTACCACGTTAAAGAGGGGCCACTGAGCCCCAGACGGACAGAAGCCGTTCTGAGAAAGACCTGTGTAAGGATGCAAACCCTGCTGATGCTCTGATAAGGAGAAATGCCTCCTTTATTCAATTCTCACTTAGAGCAGTGGCAATCGGTAATCTAGTTAAAGTATGTACCAGCCCATAATATCTGTCAGGCAAACGATGTGCAGAAATGTGCGGACAAGTTCTGGCACTCTGCTCAGTAGTGTCCCTTTTCCGCTGTCAGCAGTACTGTTGGATTCTCCTAATATAATTACATTGACTTTTATTCAATTAAGTGCCATTCCTAGCCTTAAAAAAAAGCTACTTTATCAATTGATTCAGGTGTAATGCAATAATAAAGATGAACTCATGGCAGTGCATTAGCTCTGCTGTTCATAACTTCTGAACATAGGTTCATTCATAGCAGTCGATTTCCATTATGCAACCACAGTTCAAAAGAATTGATTCTTCTACATTCATTTCTTAATCTATTTCACTTGTGTTTAATACTCTCCCTAAATATCATATGCAAAAATATTCTGTTAGGAATGAGAGGAACGACTTGTCAGAAAAAAAGTTCATTTATTCGGACACTGAAGTTTTGAAATCTTATGACAAAACCCAAGCCACAGAGGCTAGAACCTTTCCAGCATTGAGCATACCGTGTGCTGAAGCTACTAGCAACACGCATTTCCAGCAGCTGAAGAGTCTTTGGCATAGGAGGGAAGGAAAAGCATGTGTCACAGACACACCACTCGAGTGCTTGGAGCCTGACCCTGCACCTCTCCTGTCTGCTACACGACCAAAGGCAGCCCTGCGGCACCGGCCGAGCAGCCTGCGCAGGGCGCTGCTTGAACAGTGCCCGGCGGAAAGGCTTCTCAGCACCAATCACAAAGTGTCTTTGGGAAAAGATGACAAAAGAGCTCTGTCTAGGAGGAACACGACCACATATGTAAGGATGGCTACAAATAAGCAAAAGGAGAAAGAAAAAAAAAAAAAAAAAAAAAAGAAATAAAAAATGGGGTATTATTGTTGGAGAAGGCAGAATAAATCTCCAAGGACATCACTGGAGAAAGCTGGGGGGGAATAAAACCAGCTTGAAAAAAGAAGAAAAAAAAAAAAAAAAAAAAAAAAAAAAAAGGAATTAAGAAAGAAGAGTATGGATAAAGGCAGAATAGAAAGAGAAGCGGTACAGACCAGGAAGTTTAAAAAAGGGAGATGCTCTGGAAAAAGGCAAGCACTGGCCATCGCCAAATAGCACAGGGTTGAGTTTAGGGGCAGAAATGAAGCACAATATGCTACGAAGACTATTATTCAGGTGAAAAGGCAGAAGAATATGTGGCCGACAACCTGTACTGTGACAACAACTGTCAGACAACAGCTGCAAACAACAGTCAGAGAGATATGAGAAGAAAAAAGTAGCATTACAAATATTGGCTAAGCCCATACTATCTTTTGTCTTGACAATCTTAACTATTTCTTTGCTCCTCTCATCCAATACTGATCTTCTTGCTGTTTTTCTTGGGAAATGTACTCACTCAGCCATCTTAAATCACTTCAGTAGTTCCCAGACCCTCTTCTCCGTACCAAATCGAAGTATTCCATCCTAATTCAGGTCTTTCTCCCCTGCTTTGTCACTCCTAAATCCTAGCAAGTCCTGTACCAGCCCTCAGCCAATGCTCAGGCACCCTGTCTTCTGTTCACCTGCTCCTTCCCATGGCACCTGCAGTTTCTTGCTTCAGCTGTTCTGTTCCCTGATGTGGCTTAAAATGCTGCTACCCCTTCCTCTTCTAAATACTGCTCCCCCCCTGTTCCCGGAGTAAGGAGAAGCACAGCTTGGGGAGAGTGTTTTATGTCAGTGAAGGAACACTGCTATCA